TTTGAAAATGTTACAGGACCTGTCAAATAGCAGTTACTGCCCCCTGCTGCATGGAGTGCTGCATTAAATGACTTTAAAGCCAAAATGCCCTGAAACTGTTTGTGAGACTTGATTCAGCAAGCTAAAATTCGGCAAGCAAGCAGTGCTGCCCTGTGATTCTTGCTTGGGTGAAAATTGTATTCTCATGAAAACAAAATTGATGCTGAGCTGTAAACAGATCATGAGCAGGGGGACTGCAAAACCTGCTTTTTGATTTGTTTTTCCCTTCTCAACATACTCTGTGCTCACATGTTCCAACTGCCTTTTATCCCATCTGCCACCGTCTTACTAGGCAATACCAGTACCTACCTGCTCGAGTAAAGTAGCTGAGCAACGTGCAATGTTGCGGTTGCTCCCAAGCTTCCAGCTGTAGCGCTCCTCTCTTTCTGCAATAGCCACTGGCTTTGTGTACTGAACTCACAGAAACTACTTGAAAGTGGGTAGAGGGATGCAAAGTTGTCTGGGCAGAAAGCGGGAAGCAATAGCTTGCACAAGACTTGCTTCCTTAACTTTAAAAAAAAAAAGGTATTTGAAAGGTATCATCTAACAAAAGAGTGCACTATTAGTGTAGTATTGCATACGCTTGGTCTCCCTGATGAGTGGGAAAATGTAGAAAGTTAAAAGTTTCACTTGAAACTGAACTTTCATGTTTGAAGGTCCCCTCCTCCCCACATTGGGCAGCCATTCTCTGGGGAAAATAGTGTCATAAAACTACAAAGCGAGATTAACACATAAGTAAGCTTCCTTTTTGTAGACTCGGACCACATGTGGTGACTTTTTGTGGGTGACTTTTTGGGAGGGCTTTTTGGGGGTAACATTAGACTTAAAGCCCTCCACGTCCTTCAGTGGGGTTGAGCTTCCCAGCGACTCAGTGCAGCCCTGTGTGTTGACAGTTCTTTATATCAAATGTGAATGGTTTCTGCTGGAAGCCCGATCAAATTAGCATCTAGCTTTGGTTGTCCATTTAAAACATGGAAGTGACTTCATTGGTTTGACTCTATGGGCAGAGCTGCTTATACGTGTAAGCATTTTATATGCCAAAGCTTAAAACGTACCTGATTCATTTTCCCTTATCCTTTTCTTCATAACTGAAAGACAAAACTGTATAAAATCCTTCTGCTAGACTGACAGGAAAAAAGACTCAGGTAAAACAGTATATATTCCCTTAATGAGTGGCATCATCTTTATTGCTTTCCTCGTAGTCTAACAAGTTTGCTGCTGTTGCCTTGCCTTAGAAAGGTGCCTTGTCTGAGCAGGAGACACAGCTTAGCTCTTGCTTACAGTAGTAGAGTTCATCCCATCTCTTTGGAAGTAACCTAAGGTGTGCTGTTAGTAGGAAATCTTTTTGTGCTGCAGCACATGCTTGTTTTGGGCATCTTTCTTCTAGTGCTAATGTATCCACGTTGGTGGGCAGGATGTGGAGCTCGCAGTCAGGCAGTGCTCCCTCAGTCGTGCTGACCGCCAGAGGTGAGGATGATGCTGCAGAATCCGAGGAGGCTGCTGGTTCTGGGTTATTTTTGGCCAGGATCAGCTCCCCAGTAGGGCTGCAGGCTGCACATACTGGCATAGCCAGGAAGGCTGCGTGGGCACCTGAGTGCGAGTAGGGCCTAGGAACTGCCAAGAGCAGCACAGTTATTGAAAACGGTTACCCAAAAAAGTAAAATAAAACCAGAGTATGGCACAATTTCAGTTCTGAATATATTTCTCATCCACTGGCTTTCATACCTCATTATTAAACTTTCAAGCATTATTTATAAATGTTCTTCTGCAGACTTCCTGTACTAGTAAGTAGTGAGCAGGATACAAATTTGGGTAGGTTATGAAGTTACATGTGTACTTTAAAATCTATCTGTGTGCACGTAGGCAGTTTCAAGCAGGTTGGTTATCCTAGTAAGGTGTGTAAGTGGCAGCTAGGGCCAGTGAGGAGATAATGCTTAGCTGTAACGAGGAGCCAAGCCAGATGTGTTTATGTATGTGTGTAAGCATGCGCACTTGTAAAGCAGATGTTATGGTCTGCAGCAGCAAATGCTGCGGGGCTGAGGAACTCCGTGGTGCTTCAGCACAGGTCACCGTGGCGCTCGGCCCTGAGCGGGGCCGCCGGGCCGCATCGGGGGCGGCTCCGGCCTCCTGCCCGTGCCGGGAGGTGCGTTCAGGGCCACGGCAGAAGCACCGTGTCCTGGGGAGCACAAAGGTGGGTAGGAAGCCAGGCCCCTGGTGCGGGATGTGCTCGGGTCTCCGCCTGTGCCCGCGGTAGCCTCGCTTCTGCGGCAGAGCCGTGCTGCGAGTTCGTCAACGCTCGAGCTGGTCCCAGGGCAAAACCGCTCCGTTGCAGTAAAGCAGTCTGCTCCTGCTGGGTTAAATCTGGAGCACTGCACGTGGAGCAATAAAGTCTTTTGCTTATTCACTTGTGGATCTTTTTCTCTGTAAGATAGAAAAGGAAGTGATTTTGGTATCATGGCACTGTGTGTCCTCAAAGGAGTCTTTATGTAAGTTGAAAAAGCTGCGTTTTGACAGTCGTGCAGTCGAAATTTGTCAAGGTGCTTATTTGTGCCCCCTATAGTGGATGGTAATAACAATGCAGTAGTTGTGAGATCTGGGAGGAGGTGCATAGATCGGTTTACCACATCCTGGTATTCTTTCTGCAGATGTTTTGTGACTTTAAGCTCCTTGTTTAACATGATATTTTCAATGGATAAGGGCAAATCAATCATAATGACTATATGTCATTCATAATTACAGTCTGTTTAAATTATTTTAAATAGCTTGTATTTTTTCACACTGTCCTTTCTTCTTCTCGTAGGAAACCCAGCGCTTGCTGGCAGAGCCAGTTCCTGGGATAAAAGCGGAGCCAGATGAGAGCAACGCACGTTATTTTCATGTGGTCATCGCAGGTCCACAGGATTCCCCCTTTGAGGGTGGGACATTTAAACTTGAACTATTCCTTCCAGAAGAATATCCAATGGCAGCTCCTAAAGTACGTTTCATGACCAAAATTTATCATCCTAATGTAGACAAGCTGGGAAGAATATGTTTAGATATTTTGAAAGGTAAGTGTTGCCTTGTTTTCTTTCTTTCTGCCTTTATCACGGACAGAGACCTGTAGATTGACTCTAAACAGAGATGCCACTTGTTTGCAAGAGGAGGTTGCTTATTCTTTAGCCTCGGAGAGGGAAGCGCGTTGCTCTCGCTGTGTGGATTGCGATGAATGTGGTGTCTCATGCTGCTCCCCTTGTCTCTTCAGATAAATGGTCCCCAGCCTTGCAGATCCGTACAGTCCTGCTATCAATCCAGGCTTTGTTAAGTGCTCCCAATCCAGACGATCCATTAGCAAATGATGTAGCCGAGCAATGGAAGACCAATGAAGCCCAAGCCATAGAAACAGGTGGTGTATTGCTCTCATTTTTTCTCTAGCTTTAGGAAATATATATTAAGCTGATTACTGATGGGTTAGGGGATTTAAATCCTGATCTCTTGTTTTATGCTGGCAACTTGCAGAAGCAATTATTGCATGCGGTCGTAATCCGAGTACCCGGAATGGGGTCCACTTTCCAGCCTGCAAGTGAGGCCTGTTGGAGAAATAGAAAGCTCTTGATCTGTTTAATCTTCGTCTTTCATGCAGCTGAATTGCAACGGTGTCTAATTTGGACTTGTGACGGAACAAAAGTGCATATTTTTGCCTTTCCTGTGGAGCTGAGGATGCAGATTGTTAGTTACACTTCCATACCTGCTTCTACCAGTGCCTGTGGTAGATAGGAAGAGTTGTAACATTCTGCCTCTTGGCTTCTGTGCCTGCTGTAACGTGGCCGTTTCAGTAGCCGTAGCTTCTGTATGCCTTAGAGGGTCAGAATTGTGCTTATAAAATCTCAGAACTCACATATATGCGGCAGCCAAAGACTTACTTGAGATGTTTTTAATAAAGTTTGAAAAATGCAAGTTTTCTAAATGTCTTCTGTCTCTCTCTTTACAGCCAGAGCATGGACTAGGCTATATGCCATGAATAATATTTAAATGCGCTTTGAACATCAAGTGTGCATCACTTCTCCTGTTCTGCCAAGACCTCTTCCTTTTTTGTTTGCATTTAATGGACACAGTCTTAGAAACATTACAGAATAAAAGCCCAGACATCTTCAGTCCTTTGGTGATTAAATGCACATTAGCAAATCTGTGTCTTGTCCTAATTCACTATTGTAACGCATGAGCAGAGGCTAGAAGTATCATCTGGATCGTTGTGAAATTGTTTAAAAGCAGCAGCACATCTCTGCTTTTAATCATTTTTCCCATCATGGTTTAAGTATAAGCACTGTGAATGAAGGTAGGCAGGGTTAGCTGCGGGGCTTTTTGTTTTAATTTTGTGGGCTCCTCTTCCCTTTTTATGGTGATGCTAATTGCATTGGTTAAAGCAGCTAACCAGTTATACTTTAGAATATACCCTCTAGCCCGGTCTAACTTAGACGCTGTAGATGGACAAGCTTCATTGTTTGAACAAAAATGGGAACATTAAACGAACATCCATCATCATCACTAATAATATTGTGATTCTGCTGTCAAGTGTAGAAAAATCCCTCCAGTCCCTCCAAGAAAAAGCTTGTGACCATTTTGTATGGCTTGTCTGGAAAATCTCCTGTAAATCTTATGTTTTAGTAAAATATTTTTTGTTATTCTACTTTGCCTTTGTACAGTTTATTTTGCTGTGTTTTCATTTCTCTAATGTGACAATCGTATTTAAAAAATGGAAACCAGAATTGACAATTTGTCTTCACCAGTCTGACAGATTAAACAGTAAAGAGGTGGAATTCACAAGATTTTTTTTGCTTCTGTTTGCTGACTTTGTTGTTAGATTGTTGTATGGGTGACCTTGCCTGGCCTGATGTTACATTTGGAGTGACTTTTCAGAAACAAGCCTCTGGTGTGAGCACCGTAATCGTGGCCTGGCTTTAGTAGTAATGCATCGATGGGCATTTTATTGGAAATGAGGCATCCAGGAGGAGGCTGAAAGCAAACGGCGGCGCTCAGTGTGAGTATCTGCAACCTTTGCTGGTTACCTTGTGCACACTCCTGCCTGCAGTGCTCTCCCTCTAGTACTTGCACAGGAGCAGTGTGTTAGAGCCAGTGTGTGAATCACCCGAGGTTTGCTTGACCCCCCGGAGCTGAGGCCTCGTGTGTCTCCGCTCCAGGCTCCTCGCTAAGCTGCTTGCTGGAACAACCAGCCTGCTTAAAGAGCAGCAAAGCTGCTTTGCTGTGGAAGGCAAGTTTGATTAAAAGCTTCCTTCTCATGCTAGTGTTTGTGTGTACGCACCTCCTCTGGGAGCCCAGCATCTTTCTGGGGACCTATGTTACTGCTTCCCTTTAATGTCTTGTATCCCTTGATTTCGGCCCTTACCAGCCCTTTCTGCCCCCAAACAAACACTGATGAAAGCTGTTGAGCCTTAATGGGCCATCCTGAAGTGTGTGGGTGGCAGCGTGCAGTGGTTGCGGTAGGCAGTGTTTCCTCGTGCCACTCAGGGTTACGCTCATGCAGCCCGTCATTCTTGTCCCTCTTCCACCTCTTCCTCTAGTGTCACCTGGCAGTTTCTATAGGATGTGGTGTGTTTATTGTGGTCTTCTGTAAGATGAAGAATATCCGTTAGGGCTGCGTTTTCAATGCACAGTGCTCTTCAGGGGCTTTCAAATGCCCCTCAAAGGGCTGTGCTGTAAC